ATTTTAAAAATCAATGAGCCAAAAGACTTTACTAAAATGCTCCATAGAGCTGAGGGGAACTCAAGAGTTGTGACCTGTGTGAATATTACACATTGTTATTTGACCCTTTGTTACTAACTAATAGTGCAGCTATATGTTTAAATAGACTTGAATGCATTCGAATGCGTTCATTGTAAAGTGCCTCACAGCCATCAAAGTTTAGTTTTCAACCTAAATTTTTTATTTTGTATTGCACAGAGCTTGCACAGAGTTTTGTGCAAATTCATCATCCTTACTACTTCCACATATTAATAAGGCTTCAGAACACGCATAATACCGCAGCTGACATTTGTTCAAATGTTCTACTGTATCCGTGCAGCCTTGCCTTGTCATTTTGTAATTGTTTTCCCTCTGAGCTGTGTATGGTTGATAGACACTGACCATGTTCTCCATAATGTTGTACGCAGTGACATTTTGCCCTGTCACTTCCAGAGCAGCCTTTCCCTCAGTTTGATGCATGTGGCACAGCCATTAGCACTAGCTGCTGACTGTGAGCACACCATTGGCATTCCTGCCCCAAGTCACTGCCACTGACCTGAAACAAACCCGGCCTAAATGAAAACAGCGGGTGGGGTGGTGGTGGGAGGGGGCGAATACTGGTCTCAAGTATTCTTTGAGTTTAAAGTCCAGAAAAAGGCAAACAGAGTCATTTGATGTGAGTATGTGCAGTCTAAAAGATGTCAGATGTCATCATGTGGTGCTCAGAGGATCCAGCAGGTCGTGAAATGCTGTCAGGGTTTAGGGTTCAGATCCCACCAGGTCCACCACCCACGCTGAAAGTGCCTGCACTTTAAGAGGTAAAAGAGTGAAGACTGGACTTTTACATTTACAAGGTGGGAACAAACACAACTCTAACGTTGGTCTGTAACTACTGAATGTGTAAATGAGAAACTGTCCACTCCACAAACTATTTTTCTTTGCCTATTGTGTTAATATATATACAAATATCGTGTTCAAAAAATGTGCAAAGCTAGCTTGTATGCATCTTCTTGGAGTTGCAAGGCCAGTTCCTCAACCGTGATGGCACTGGTATATTTTTAAATGTACATCCCCCAACTCTGGTAGCAGTTGGCGCGCTACCATCAACTCACTCGTTCTTTTCCAGATAAAATGTAATAACAGGTGCCCACAATAAGGTTCAGGCCCTCTGTGATTTTTCAGCTCATCATTCTCAGAGGAGGAGAGAGAGATTCCAGGAAAATAGGTCCTTATATTAATCTCTTGTGGTGAAAACTGCCCTGAGACCCTATCCATGCTAGCTAGAAGAGGCTGATGTGATAGTGATGGTCAATGTGTCGCTGTCCCTTGTCAGAAGCTTCCACCCAAAGTAGCAGGAACTTTTAGTCCCAGGAACTACTTTTCAAGGAGCTAAAAGGTTCCTTCAGCCACGTTTCCACCATGGTCTGAGCCAAATTTGTCCTTTGATGTATAAATGCGTCAAAGAACAATGAAAAAAACTGGTTTGCAGCTGCAGATTGAGTGAAATAAAAAGCTCGACCAATCAGAAAGCAAGCCCCAACCCAAACTTTTGTGTAATTTTTGGAAAGTTGTTTTAATCAGTTATAGTTTCAGTGTGCTTCTCCTTACCACACAAGTTAGACCTACTGAGAAAGTACAAGCATCAGATAGTGAGTACAAAGGCCAACTGTACAGCATTTACAGCATTGATAAGAGTTAACACTCCCTGTGTGCCCTGTAAGAATAACTATGATACACACTCAGGTAGCTAACACTATACACACTACTTTTTCTGCATGTTTTAGTTGTTTTACAGCATCTGAGCCTCAAAAGCATTGAGTGCAACTGTCGCAATGCAACATGGATCCTTTTTTCACATGCTGTTCCTCCTTAAAGCTTTGGCTTATCACGCTTGCTCCACCAGAATCCTATCAAAATTCATGTAATTCTCAGCAATATTTCATTCACTGCCTCCACTTTTTCCCACTCAGTCACAACTCACCCCATGCTGCTTTCCTACTGCCTCTCATCGGTGCTGGTCACTTGAAATGAGGCGAACCACACGGGTCCTCGGCTCAGAGTTACTCACTGCTCTGTGTCTGTGATTGGGCACTGAAGGGAAAGTGGGTCTCTTGGTCTCCCAGTGGACCATGTGGGATATAATGCGCAGCTGAGTGCTCTCAGAAAGGGGAAAAACAAGCTCCCACCGTGTCTGGCTTTACCCTAACAAGGCCTCGTACTCTCCGGGCCATCCCAGTCTCATGACTGCAGTCTGGCAGCAGAGACATCCGCGGCCTGATTCTTCCTCTTTGTTCACCCTCATTTCAGAAGTGCATCTGAATTAACAGTGAACTTTCTGTCTCAACTAAGAAACAGGATTTGGCAAACTCAGGGTTCCCACGCGTCCTGGAAAATCTGGAAA